AAAAAAAAAAAAAAAAAGAAAAAAAAAAAAAAAAAAAAAAAAAAAAAACAAGAAAGGAAAATTATGCACTGAATGGCGCATCCAATGTATGTAGCAGGGCCGGCCCAAGCCTATTTGGGGGTCTATGTAGATTTTCAGTTGGGGGGCCCTTCTTACCAACATGTCAACACCAACTATTCTTTAAAATTCCTAAGCTACTCTGTGTGTGACTTACTTAATATCCCCCTGGTGGTGCGGGGGTCCGAAGCAGCTGCTTAACTTGCATAATTCCTTCTGTGGTCGGCTCCAGTGCTTATTAAAAAGTAGAGCTTTAAAATTAAGCAACATATCTGAATGTAAAAGTATGCCATGCCCACAAACTAAAACAACAGAGACACTGACCTGTTATTTCACCAGACGTCGTGTGAATCATTTTTATTTCGCCCTCCTCTGACCCAGGCCTTCTCCAACACAGCAATGGAGCCATCAGAAAACACCACCAGCAACCACGCCCCAAATTCAACAGGCGCCGAGGGCTCATGGGAGATCAGCGACAAGACCAGACTCTGCCGCTTCCTCTGCTACGGCTCAGAGGGAGAAATCTACACCGCCAGAGAGCAGGGCCGCGTTGCCACGGAGACCGCCGGAGCCCTGCTGTCGCTGCTGCAGGAGGGGAGAGGCGCAGAGGCGGTGGAGGAGGCCAAGCGGTTCGCCCAAGGCGGCCGCGCCGTCAGGCCGGGGCCGGCCCTTTTCGCCCTGGCCTTGTGCTCGCAGCATTCAGAGCTGAAGACGAGGCAGGCGGCTTTCAAAGCCCTGAGGGAGGTCTGCCGGGACCCGGCCCACTTGTTCTCCTTCGTCCAGTACAAGAAGGAGCTGAAAGAGGGCATGAAATGTGGGATTTGGGGGCGCGCCCTGAGGAAGGCCGTGTCCGACTGGTACAACGAGCAGGACCCCCTGAGTCTGGCTGCGGCGGTGACCAGGTGTAAGCAGAGAGAGGGCTGGTCGCACCAGGACCTGCTCAGGCTCTCCCACACCAAACCGGCCACAGAGGGTGAGCTAGGGGCGATCAAATGAAAAAATAAAAATAAAAAAGGCACCCTGTGTGGCGTTTGGAACTGCTGCCTGCAGGAGCAATGAGAGATTTATTACAAGTCACACATGATGACATCAGCTGCGTCTCCATTAATCATAAAATTGCTCGAATTGATTTGACGAAAATAAGTTCACTTAATGGAAACGCTAATTTCGAAAACATGACAGTGGCGCGTTTTCATTTTTACCGATAAAGTTTTTTAATAAAACATTTTTTTGCACTGGTATCAGGAGGTTTTTTTGCTGTATGAAGATGAGCGCGTTTCGCAAAACTACAGTAGAAACACTTTTTTTTCACATCACACGAATCACATGATCAACAGCCAGATGTGACCGCTGGCAGAAACCACAAACACACAAACACTCATGTAGCTGCTTTCTTCCGTCGGTGCCTTGACTGATTATTAATCTCCTATTGTGTGAAGCTTATTTTTGTGTGATTTTAATTTAATTTCTTAATGACAAAACGCAATTGTAAAATAATCTTTTTACATTAGCAGAATATTGACAAAGATTTGCACACATTTGTAATGTAAACGCAGCTACTGGTAAAAAAAAATCAGAAGGTCTTTTTTTTTTTTTTTGCAAATGAAAAAAGTTGGTGCTCCATCACCACATTGTGTCTCTGTGCTCATCTGAGGGGAATCATTTAGAAACAGGGATGCAAGTTATAAATGGAGATGATGTAAAGTTGATTGGTTTTATTAAATTTATACAAGTTTCCTTTAGTATATTTCTTTAACTTTAAAGGCTGAAAAACACAATGTGCTAAATTTTAAAAAAAAGATGCATATTTGAACCATTTTTGCATCAGCTGTGCTACATAGCCTATTAATTGTTTGCATCCCTATTTAGAAACACATTATAGCATTAAGAGCTTGAAAACAATGAGCTGCTTTTTTTTCGTTAAACGCTCGTGTTTTTAAAGTGAAATTCCATTATCGCGCAAGAGTAAGAGACGAGCGAGAAACGGGTTGCAGCGTTCCACGTTTTGACCGTTAACGGTGACGACCGACTCTTTGTGTTTCCAGCTGTTGCCTTGATCAGCAAATATGTAACAAAAGGGTGGAAGGAGGTCCAGGCGGCTTACGCCGACAAAGAGAAATCTGAGGAAGTGGTCAAAGTGCTCTCCTATCTGGAAGTGGTGGAAAAGGTCAAGCACAGCTGTGACGAAGTGGAGGTCAGCGGTTTAATAGAGGAGCACAAGCTGGAGAGGGAGCAGCTGCTGACAGACCACCTGAGGTCAAAACAGGTACGCTGCTTTTCTTTGACACTTTCATCGGCGAGGCCATGTCTGCAGTTTCAACAAATTAGACAGAAAGGGGAGATTTTTCAGTCTACAGGTTTTCTAACAATGAAGCTGTTTTATAGCCGATACTGTGCAACGGACTTGGTAAGCTGGAATAGAGTTTGAATGAAATCCACATCCGGCGATGTGGATTTCCCTTTTCACTTGTCTTTGGAGTGGAGCCCTGAGATGCAGGAAAAACTTCAGTGCGTGAAGCTTAATGTTGGGTAAGGAGCTGTAATCCTGGGGGTTTGTGGTGGTTTAAGTTGTGCCTCGAAACATAAACATCTTAAAATGTCATAACTGTACCCATCCGTATCCCCAAAAATGTCTTTGAGCCCCCAGTAGAAGTTCACTATCACTTAACGAATCACTGTTATGAATATATTTGACAGCTAACACTGTAAAATCCTGTTTGATCAATATTTAAATATCTAGATTTCAAATGATATTTAACGATGACCCCAGAAGACCACCAGGTTTCCTGAACCGGGTTCCTAACTTGCAGAAATACTTTATGAAAACTTAAAAACCTTGAAAGAATGAAACGGCGAAGTACCGAAACGGCCAGGATCCAAGCTAGCACTGATGCTGAAATCGGCCAACTTTGAATGTTGCTCTTGCAGAAATGGCTTCCATACCGACAATTCTGTTAGTGCTTGGGTGTGGTGCGTTCACTGACCAGACCAAAGGTCAAACTTTTTAGCTTCCATCTCGCTAGTCACTGGTCTGTTGATAAGAAAATGACAAACTATTCTTGTTTTAGGAAGGTGACGATATAGAATAAACCTAAATAAGTACCATTTACAGTTTAAACAGGTATGGTACCTGGTTAACACTAAATTAAAGAAACTGGAAATCTGGTAAATGCAAACTTTTACTCTTTTATTTTGAAGGTGTGGAGTGCCCTGCTGAAGGAGATATCCCTGCATTCCATTCTTAAAATCCTGGGAAAGATGACGTCCAACAAACTTCTTGAGCCACGGAGCGCCGAGACCCAAACCATCTGTGAGAGACTCCAGAACGAGTCGTCGCTAAAGAAGGTACCACCGTAAACATCCTCCAGCGGCGTCACCGTTTTCTGTGCTGCACGTGAAAACATTTCCGTTTTCGACCCTCCAGGCCAACATCCACCCTTTCAGCATCCTTTTGGCTTCGGAAAACTATAAACGAGGCCAAGGCTTCCAGGGGAAAACGAAGTGGGAAGCGGATGGTAGCATCCTCAAAGCCATGGACTGGGCTTTTTATACAAGCTTTCAGGTGAGTTTTCTGGGTCTCAGAGTTCCTCCTCAGCTGTCGGCTTCTTACTAAGAACATGGCCGCTCTCTTTCCGATCCTCAGAACGTGGAGCCCGTCGGGAAGCGCTTCGTCGTGGCTGTAGACGTGGGCACATCGCTGACCAGCATCGTTCCGGGAACGGCGATTAGCACGGCGGTTGCAGCTGCAGCCATAACCATGGTGAGCCCGGAGCAGAGTGAGGGAGAGTTTACGCTGTAGTAGAAGGAACAGCTGCGTCTGCCGGCGCATACTGGGAATTCCTGGAAAATTCTTTCCGCGCCACGTTTTTCCACAGGGCCCCTCAGAGGTTATTAGCTGGGGAAAGTGACATCACAAAAACAAACGGAAGAGTTTTGTTTAGAAGTACTGAAGAGAGGCAGAGTTAGATTTGTTGTTTTTGTTTTTGTTTTTATGTCCGTTTGCTGCAGATTTTTGCTCGGACAGAATCCAACACGCAGGTCCTGGCCTTCTCTGAGGGCGCTGTGGTTCCGTGCTCTCTTTCTGCAGATATGTCGCTTGCAGAAGTGACTGCTGAGCTGGTTAAGGTAAGACGTACCGCTGTTTTCTCTCTTTCTCCAGGTGTAGAAGCAGGCTTCTGGTGTCCACTGGTCATTTCTATGCTGCTTTCTGTCCTCTACTTCTGCTTCTATTGAAGAATTGAAGGGTGGCTATACTCTTAAATATCTAAGTAAAAGAAATAACGCACAGAGACGTAGTTCTTGCTGCTAGGCCATAGACGAGCCGGAGATTTATTACACTACCACGGATTCCTCATTACAGTTTCTTCAGTTCAATACTCAAAATCTTCCATAGTCTCAACACAAAAAATCTCCTCGAAGTCTTAACATCAACCTTTTTTATACCTTCTCATCTTCATCAGTGTGTGTTGGAAAGTTTCAACCAATGGCGTGCTACTGTTGTTTTCCAGAAAGATTCTGGCACGCTTTATACTGAGTGTGTATTGGGCTTTAGATGCTTTAGATGGTTTTCTTTATCTAAAGCCGTGGGTCCCAAACTTTTTCTTCTGCCACGCCCCCCCAGTGGTTTCCAAACATTTTCTGCGCCCCCCCGCACCCCCATGGATTACAAATGGCTGTCTGGTTAAAACGACCGTGTGACGAGGGGGGCATCGACT